TATTGCATCCTAGTGTTACATAAATATTCATACACAATGTTATTTGAAACAAAAAATATAAATACATAAAATATATGTAAAAAGAAAACTATCAGCTCCCATTCACACTAGGGTGTTTTATTGCAGTGTGTTATTACAAATGCATTAACGTGTTATGGTGTTAACATGTATTACATGCAGTCATTATGAATGGACTTCCAATGCACCACAATGGATGAAAAAATGTACATGATCCTTTTTTAATTCCTGGCTGACAGCAGAATGTGAGCATGCAGCCTGGCAGGACAGGAAAGGGAGGGATGAACTTGCAGCCCCCTCCCTCTAGAACCAGGGAGCAATCCCTCCCCCCCCAGGCAAAGCACCTTGGCTCCATGTTGATGAGGACAAGGGCCTCTTCCCCAGAACTCTAGCCCAGTGGTTGTAGGGGTTTGCGGGCAGGGAGCTTATTCAAATCTGGAACCCCCTTTTCACAATAAGGGGGCCCCTTGAAAACCTGGCCCCCGTGTAAATGAGTAAGGGGTGCATATTACTCCAACTCATTCACCAAAAAAGTCAGTGGTAAATAAAAACACATAGTTTTTGACAAGTCCTTTATTAGAAAGAAAAAATTCTCCTATTGTACATTATTTGACAATCATGTTGTGCAGCGATTTAGGTACCTGTGAATCATGATGAATGTTGGCTGCCGATCGCTCCTGTTTCTTGTCCGATGCCAAATTACATTCTAACACTGAAATAGGCAAAGGGGCAGGGCCTGGTGACATAATTGACCATGGTCATGTCCATCCCTAGTCAATGATGTCATAAAAGATACTCCGATATGGATTTTTTTAAATCTCATTTTTTGACGAGCTCCTTTGTTTATATTCTGCTGTCATCCAGGAAACCTTGACAACAGGAATGAGTCACTGGCTGTTAGAATGTCGGCTCCTTAACAACCAGTATCCAGTCTCCTTCCCTACAAAAAAATTCACTACTATCAAAAACATGTCATAATGCAACCAAGCTGCATGCAATAATCACACTGAAAACAGTAGTTGTAAACCTCAGACATGAAATATGAACAAAATATATCCCTCTATAGTGTGTACAGTGTGTGCCTCAATAAAAGCACTAATTGTTATTTCTCCCAATTTTCATTTCTGATGCTTCGTTCCTCTGCTGTTAGCAAGAATCACTTCTGACAAGTTTTCCTGACACCAAGAGGGAAAAAGGTGACAGGAGAGGAAGCTCCAGTACACAGCCTGTGATTGACATCTTAGGTCTGTTCCTATGTGCTCTGTGAAGGTGGTGTGTTTGCCTTCAATTCAATCAGCTCTCACAGCTCTCATCACTTAGCTCTGTAGTGTGTAAGGTAAGACATATCAGGGGGTAGGCAATCTTTCAGAAGTTGAGATCTACCTGGACATCATAGAGGAAATTAAAGATCCTTGGGGAGGTGGGGGGTAGTGGTGGTGTCTGGGCAGTGACCTTAAAAAAAAAACTATCAAGCTTTTGATAAATATACGGCATGATGAACACATAGTGTGTCACAGTAGTGTCCTCTGCTCCCCTTCACATCATTCCCTTCACAGTAGCATACTCTGCCCCCCTTCACATCACCCTCAAAGTAGTGTTCTGTGCCCCCCTCCATTTAGTAATGTTCTCTGCCCCTCAACAATAGAGTCCTCTGCCCCCCCCCACAGTAATGTTCTCTGCCCCCACATACAGTAGTATCCTTAGCCCCTCTACATCCCTGCAGTAGTGCCCTTTGCCCCCTTCACAACACCCTCCCACTGTAGTGTCCTCTGCCCCCTCCCCACCACAGTAGTGACCTATACACCCCCAACTCAGTTTCCTTTGTTTCCTTTCATGTCACCCCCCCCCACAGTAATGTCCTCTGCCCCCACATACAGTAGTATCCTTAGCCCCTCTACCTCCCCACAGTAGTGCCTTTTGCCCCCTTCACAACACCCTCCTACTGTAGTATCCTCTGCATCCCCTCCACACCACAGTAGTGACCTATACACCCCCAACGCAGTTTCCACTGTTTCCTGTCATGTTACCCCCCCCCCACAGTAATGTCCTCTGCCCCCACATACAGTAGTATCCTTAGCCCCTCTACCTCCCCACAGTAGTGCCTTTTGCCCCCTTCACAACACCCTCCCACTGTTGTGTCCTCATCCCCCCTCCTCACCGCAGTAGTGACCTATACACCCCCAAAGCAGTGTCCTCTGTTTACTTTCATGCCCTCCCCCCCTCCACTGTAGTGTCCTCTGCCCCCCAAAGCAGTGTTCTTTGCCTCCCCCCAATGCAGTGTTCTCTGCCCTCCCCCCCATCCTAAAGCAGTGTCCTCTGCCCCCCCCCCCTTCACATCATCCTCCCCCCACATAAACACACAGCACTGTGTAGATAGCACTCTCCTAACTGACAGTGTGCACTGCAGAGCAGAGAGCTGGAGGCAGCATAGTGCTGGATGGTGGGTGGGAGCTGCCGAAGTTAGTTGCATAATAACAAGCTGGTGATTGGTTACTAGGACTGCCCAGTGTCCTAGCAACCAATCACTGGCAGGTTGACTCGAAAACTAAAGCAGCTCCCACCCTCCATCCAGTGCTGTGCTGCCTCACTCACTCTGTTCTACCTGTCAGCTGCCCACGGTCGAATGGTAGATTGTGATTGACAGCATGCCGAGCTCGCAATAGATTATACAGTTTTCTTTCCTTCCACCACAGGTGCTTTGTGCCTTCCCTGCCAGCAGAACACAATTATCACTGCTGGATGCTATAGCAGCCGGTGGTGATTGCGTGCAAAAAAGAAAAAAAATCAATGGACTAACTTCAGTGCAACTAGCCTGCCCATAGATGGATCGGGCAGCTCTCCGCCCCTGTTTTCTGACAGGTCAGACAAGCTTATGAATTCTGGATTTTGAATGGATGTCGATAAGAGAAGACTTCAGATAGACAGGTACAACTTATGTATCAGAATTTGTTTCATCCCTGTGTATCACCTGAGGCCAGTCACTTCATTGGGTAAATGTAAGGGTTTACAACCACTTTAATAAAACCCACTTTCCACTACAGTGTAAGGGATTTTGAGTTCAGTTACATCGGGTCACCACTGGGAGCAGCGGAAGGACTCATCTATCAAGTGACTACAATAATTAAACTGCTTAAAGCAGGGTTCCAGTAAAACTGTAAAAAAATAAAAGCAGCTACAAAAATTGTAGCTGCTTTAATCATGTTAATAGCTCTCATGGTCTTTTTGCACGGGTGTTCCATTTGTTTTATGAATAAATTTGTGGTATTTCCAATTTTTTATGTCACATGATAACGGTTTTTAAAATGCAACATTTCAGTACAAAGTACACTACAGTTAATTTTAGAACACATAAACACAAAAATGTACCCATTTTTTGTAAAATATAAAAGATGAAGTTTTAAAGATAACAGATACCCATAATGTCAAGCATTAAGTTTCATGCACCTATGAAGCGAAACATGTCAATACCCTATATTTTCCTTAGGTGATGCTTTAAAAGCCCCTAGAGGTCATCAGTTTAGTGCAGGGGTAGGCAACCTGCGGCTCTCCAGCTTTTGCAGGACCACAAGTGCCATCATGCCTTTGCAAGTCATAGCTGTAACTGTCAATTTTGTAATGTCTTATGGGAAATGTAGTTCCACAACAGCCAGAGAGCCGCAGGTTGCCTACCCCTGGTTTAGTGTTACCCATGAGCTCTTGTGCTAAAATGATTGGTCTTACAGTGATATGTTGCATGTGTAGCACAATTGCTTTTTACATATGTGCCACAATGATTGCATAATTTTATGTATGCCTGCGTATGTAAGCCGTGCAGCGGGGTTGGCTCCCCAGGATACAGTGAAGTCACGAACGAGGAAAGCAACCCCAACACCAGCTTTTGCAACAACATAATTTTACTTAGATGTGGAAAATGAACACAACCACAAATGCTGGAAACATACAATAAATTTACATACACCCAGCATAAAGGCTGAGACCCTTGTGCTGCACAGCACGGCGCCTTCTGATGGATGAAGGTAGAAAGTGAAGTAATTTACCTACTGGCGGGCACAACTAAGCTGCCACACCTTACCTGGTATTACCCTAAAAGAGCAGGAATCAGTGTACGGGTGTATGGTATGGGCTAGCCTGCGGTGCAGCACAAGAGCTTACAATCTTACACAAATCTACAGTATTCCCCCTCCCATAACTGGTCCTGTAGCATGTGCCTGAGTATTCCTTCTGAGCAAAACGCCAGTCTGGCTTGAGTTTGTGGGATTTTATCAGCTCTCCAATGTGAAATGTCACTTTAAGTTATGGGGCCTTCCAATAATCAGTAACAACACTTGTGGCTTGACACAAACAGAGACCCTAACTAACTAACTATAGGCCTGAACTCAGTCTATAGGCGCCAACACTGAAATGAGGTGCGTGCACGATCTTACCGACCCGGGTCTGCTTTGCATCCGCTGGTGACTCTGAAGAGAACAAATGTCTCTCCAACAAGCATGCAGTCTCGCCGTGTATGTTGCTTAGTTCCTCTGCTCTCATCAGCATTCCTGGCAGCAATCTCATCAGCTTCCTGGCAGCAATCTCATCAGCTTCACTTAGCTGCAGCTCTGGTTACGGAGGGATGCTTTCACACCTGGATGTCATCAGATTCTCAGCTCACACGGCCCCTGCATTCACCATCCTCTAAACATGACTGCTCTCTCTCCTCTTCCTGTTCCCTCAACTCCATGTGAAAACCCCATCTCTACAAGAATATAGAAATATCTATGCAGTCTGAGGCTGTGTTAGAAAAACAGTGACATCTTGTTGGTAAACTGCAGAATGTCAGTCAAAACATTTAATTTACTCCACACAAGCAGTATTCAAACAATGAGAGCTGTTTTCCCATCTCACACGTATGCAGGGGTGGGGAGGCTCACTTTTTTGTAGTGTGAACTGGCCCTTAAAAAGACACATGAAAAGTGAAAAAAAATACAAAAAAATGTGATTTGTGCCCTGAAAATCAGTACCTAGCAGTGCCACCCATCACTGCCTCCATCAGTGCCACCAAGCAGTGATGCACAGCAGTGCCTATCAGTGCTGCCCATCAGTGTTGCCAGTCAGTGCTATGAGTCAGTGTCATCAGTCAGTGCTATCAGCGCCACCAGTCAGTGCTGTCCATCAGTACCACCTATCAGTACCCATCATTGCTGCATATCAGTGCATCATGTCGTACTGGAGGAACGTAACTTAACTTTTTTTTTTAATATGTTGCAAAGTATTTTTTTTTTACCTTGAAACAGCTCTTCCTGTTACAGACTGACAATGATAAGCCACTGCCTCTTAATTAGCAGCATTTTCAGCCTGCCACACATGCTGCTTTAGTTTGCCACTGGGCTGCCTATCATATCGATTAGTTAGACTGGCAGCTGCAGGAGTTTGTACAAGAGGCTGGGAAAGCTGCTGCTAGCTGAGAGGCGGCAGCTTTGCATGAACAGCCTGCAACAGAAAGTTCTGTTAGTGGCACAATCTTCAAGGATGGAACTTAGATTCACAACAAAAAATTTGCCAAATAAAAACTGTATACAGTGAAAAAAGATGCTAAACATGCTTAAATGCAACATGCAACAGGTTAAAGTGTTAGCCCACAACAATAAAATCAGTCTGTATATGCAGTAAAGTATGCTTGTTATACTCACTGTGGAACCTTATCAGTTAATCCTCTGCATTGTGTAAAAAGAATGTTTGATCCTGTCTTCTATGATCCTCCCCTTCTTCCATGTTCCCCATTTCATCTCCTGATAGAACACAGCCTCAGAGACATTCTGCACATGCTCAGTTTGGTGTGTACTGCTGCTGTTGTTTTTTTTCTTGGGAGGGTGCATTTGATCAGCACAGGGCCAATCAGCACTGTCCAGATAGAGGGTCAGGGGTTATGCTATCTCATGGAGCAGTGAGAGGACAGTGAAAACTCCTCCTACGAGCTTTAACTGCCTCCTGCCCGCCATGTAAGGAAATGACAGGCGCAAGGCGGATCTCTCGTTCTGGGAGGACATCATATGATATCCTCCCACTCTAACCGCGTGTGCACACCCCCGCGGCAGTGTGTCCCTGGGGCACAGCAGATCACCGATCAATGGAAAAAGATCGGAAGATGTCGGCTCAGTCATGTGATCCGCTGTGTCCAATCATAGCTGATCGCATGTAAATATGGAAATGCCGGTTATCGGCATTTCTCTCCTCATGAGCTGTCACGCTGACAGCTCATGAGGAGAGGAGAACCGGTAATTGGCATTACTCAGAGGGGACATGTACACTGATCATCAGGATACTGTTGATCAGTGTGCCCTGATGATCAGTGTAGCCCCAGCAGTGCCACCTGTCAGTGCCCATTAATGCCATCTGTCATTGCCCTCAGTGCCCATTAATGCCATCTGTCATTGCCCATCAATGCCACCTGCCAGTGCCCATCAGTGCCACATCAATGCCGTGTATCAGTGCCTACCAGTGCACATCAATGCCACATATCAGTGCCCATCTGAGCTGCCTTTCAGTGCCACCTATCAGTGCCAGTCAGTGCCACCTATCAGTGCTGCCAATCAGTGCCACCCATCAGTGCCCGGTGTCGCCTATCAGTGTCAGTCGGTGCTGCCTATCAGTGCCGCCTAACAGTACCAGTCAGTTCCACCTAACAGTGCCAGTTAGTGCCGCATGCCACCTATCAGTGCCATATATGAGTGCCCATCAGTGATGCCTGTCAATGCCCATCAGTGCCACCTACCAGTGCCTCCTCATCAGTGCCCTTCAGTGTTGCTTATCAGTGCAGCCTATCAGTGCCCATCACTGCAGCCTCATTAGCGCACATCGGTGAAGGAGAAAATCACTTATTTACTAAATTTTATAACAGAAACTAAGAAAAAACATTTTTTTTAAAAACAATTTCAGTTGTTTTTGGTTTGTTTAGCAAAAAATAAAAAACCCAGAGGTGATTAAATACCACCAAAAGAAAGCTCTGTCTTTCTCAAAATAATGATAAAACGTTCATATGGGTACAGTGCAGTGTTGCATGACTGCGCAATTGTCATTCAAAGTGCAACAGCACTGAAAGCTGAAAATTGGCCTGGGCAGGAAGGGGGTATAAGTGCCCTGTAGGCAAGTGGTTAAGCAGTGCTCTGCTGGACACTGATAGAAGTCACAAGACTGCTCTAACTGCTGTTGAGAAAAGGTATTTAACAGTTTATATTTACTAAAATAATTGCACATCCATGTTTGTGTACTGTGGGAGACCAGATATAGTGAAAGCAGGGTCCTGGGTTTAGTAACACTTTAAGGGCTTACATATACTTTTGTTTCAAGGGTTACTTTCAAGGTAACAGTTATGTTAATGTTTATGATTTCGGTTCAGGTATACATTTATCCCTGGTTCATACTGATGCGAATCTGATGCGGTTCAGATGCATGTCAGGATGCATAGATTTGAATGTCAAGTGAAATAACATTATATCCTATGAAGGCTGATCATATCTATGCGCTGTGATTCTGATGTGGTTAAAAAAGGGTCCTGTGTGTGTTCAGTGTGGTGTGATTTTAAGCTCCATAGATTGTTAAAGTAGTATTACAATCACAGCTGTGAGAGCGCAAGTCACACAGAAATTTGCACTCCAAATCACATGACTGAGAGACATGCAGAATATCGAGGCTAATACTTACCACCTAACCAATAAAACAATCACCTTCTCAACCTTCTCCCACCTGAAATAACCACGTGACTCCCCTTTTGGTGCAAAAACGGCCATAGCAGCCCATTTATTTAACATAACTCTTACATAACACTTCATACAGTACAATTAAATAACTGACAGTAATGATCCCAACCAAGTCCAAGGTCTTCAAAGGCACTGTTACTCACATCAATAACTTGGCTGTATCTGACACCCAATGAAAAGGCTCCCAGCCGCTACTACACCGCCTTGGGGACAATACTACAGCTACGTAGTCCCAGATACAGCCAATGAACTCCCACCTTACCGACAACCTTATAATTGGGAAGGAACACCCATACCTATGATGGACCCAACCCATAATCCACCAAATTGTCACTCCAGCACCGCCTTCAAAGACCCAGCAACCCCTGCCAGCTGCCATGACACAACAAAAAACGCCAGACAAACACACCAGGACACAAAATGCCGATCAAAGAAAGAAAACAAAATCAACGAACCCACACAAAACCAAACAACATGAGAAACTCAAAGGACAAGACCAATCACGGAAACAACCCCAAAAAATAAAACAGCAAAACAAAACAACGAAACAGGTCCAGGGAGAGAGGGCAGGAGAAACCTCACCCGTGCTGGCACAAGCTCTGACTGACACCCAGCATGTCCCAACCCCTCTCCTCATCCTGGAAAGACCACCCTCAAACTCGAATACTCCAGTCAGGTGAGTAACCACCCTACCTACTGAATATCCTCCCACTCAAATCCAATCTCTGCCTCATCTGCAAGCCCCAGTCATGCTGGCCCTCCCCTTAGCTTCGCTCAGTCCAGACCATGACTTGAAAATCGCACTGCATCATACTACATCCAGTCTGAACGTAGGCTTAGGAGTTCTGTCAGCTTAAGAGTTAGGTTTCAGTATTAGGATCAGGTTCAGGATGATGACTAGAGTTCATTTTAGGCTTTAGGAGTTAAGTTCAGAATAATGGTAGCTGCCTAATTATTTTTAGCTCGTGCTCAGTTATGGGTCTATTTGGTTGCATTATGGGCTTGAATTGTATGCTGCCCAAATGCAACACACAAAATTCATTCTAACACTAAAGTACTACATCAGGGGGTTTGCGTAGATGGAATTCTCCACGTCACCCGAACTAGTACCCTTTCTTCGTTAATTGACACCCTCACAATTGTTAGCATTCTCCCCCTCCCACTGGACGCCTCTCTTTTCCTCCCTTTTTTCTTCTCTACCCTGCTCTTTCTTCTTTTCTCTTTTTATTTCCCTCTCCCACACTTTGCAAAAAATAGTGGCCCCCGCATTGAAATTGTCCCAGACTCTTGCAGAAACTATCGCACAGGGAATCTTAAACTTGACTACACTATCCTGGAGTCCATCCTGAGACATACAGTGCACTTCCTCCTTCCCTCTGGCTATGCTGAATTTACCTTTACCCCTGCCTGCTGTTCAAGTGGACACTTAGGCTTCATATTTGTTCATTATTGGAGTCCAGTCCATATCTGATTTCTTTCATTTATATTTGGTAATGTTTCTGTATGTAAGCTATTTGCTTTTACCTTGACATGATCATGTAAGACACGCCTGTTTTGTGTTTTGTTTTTTGTGCCACAAACTCAATATAAATGTTGTTCTTAAATAAAAAAAAGTACAGCATCATGGACACTGCCTACAAAAACTTAGTATGTTTTTCCTATGTTTGCATGTGCTCTGGTTTCACCATCCAAAAACATACTGAGACCATCTAAACACATACTGCTGGCATTCAAGCAGATATAAAAACAATGATTGTAGTTATATCTTTGTAAAACAAACCCTTAGGGCTCATGTACACTGCAGCTCCTAAACTCACGTTCAGGAGCTTTTCTGCATTTTTTTCAGCAGCCCCTGAACTCTTCCTAATGTTTTCCTATGTGTTCATGTACACAACGTCTTTTACAGTCATTTACAGGCAGTTGAGTTTACAGTTGTTTTTTTGAACGCACCAAACTTGCATTCAGGAGTAGATTTTATCAGCGTTTCAAACGCCAAATGCTTATAAACGCATGTAGACACTTTTAAATGCAGATAACTGCGTTTATAAGCATTTGCGCTTAGAAGCATTTTTTTAACTGTTCCATATCCAAATGCTGTCCAGAGCCTTTTTTCATCACCAGAAATGCTGCAAAGCATTTTCCATGTATTCAAATGGACCCGGTACACCAGTGCAGTCAGTTCCAAGTTTTGCTGAAGGAAAAAATGGTAGAACGTGACACATTATGCTCATGATGGGATCCATAGTAAATACAACCAGAAAAGACAGGTAATCTCAACACATACTCTCTGCTTCTGCTCTCTCTTTTTTTCTCAAAATGTCTGAAATAGTTCATATTTTACTGTTTTTCAGGACATTCTGGGCATTTTGGGTCTCCTGATGTTATCTTTAAAAAAAACACTTCTAAACGCAAATGCACATAAATGCGCACAAACGCTGCTAAACAGACGTTTTTTAACCTACGTCTTCCAGCAGTTTCCATCGTTCAGAAGAGTTTTCCAAACGTCCCGTGTACATAGAGCCTCAATTCCAATTTTGAATGCAACTAATGTAAGTATCTGCAACTGCCTGTCTAGTATCAGATGCCTCTTATAAATTCTGTACAGACTGGAAGGGAAGGCCAGCACTAGGAGCCACTGACAAGGCACATACTGAGAGGAGGAGAGTAATCAAAGGAACAAACTCATCATTGTGCTACTGCTGCTTCATCATTGTCCAGACACAGACTAGGGGACTGGGAGGTGACCTAGCCATATTGTTCAAAGATGCACTCCAGGTCCCATTTTTTTTCATAATTATATTGGCCCAGATTGGAACAATATAAGTTTGCATATGCCATACTTTAGGGGTTCCTGTGGAAATGGAGAATCTCTGTAGTAGACACTGCTACTGCAGTGATCTCCACTGTCTTCCAGTGCTTGGCACAGGCACTATTCACTAAAAGTGTTACTAAACCCACAACAGTAAAATCAGTCTGTATATGCAGTAAAGCATGCTTGATATCCCTGCTGTGGAACGTAAGGGGTTAATCCTCTGCATTGTGTAAAAACACTGTTTGATCCTGACTTCTCTGATCCTCCCCTTCTTCCGGTGTCCCCCTCTTATCTCCAGATAAGACATATCGTGTGAAGACACTCTGCACATGCTCAGTTTGGTGTGTATTGCTAGAGAGGTTTTTTTTTTTCTTGCGAGAGTACATGTGACCAGCACAGAGCCAATCAGCACTGTCTAGAGAGAGGTCAGGGGTTTTGCAACCTCCTAATGCAGAAAAAAGCTCCTCCTAGAAGCTTTAACCAGTGCTCTGCTGAACACTGATAGAAGTATCAAGACTACATTAACTGCTGATGAGAAAAGGTATTTAACAGTTTATATTTACTAAAATAATTGCATTTCCATGCAGTGCGTAGTGTGGGAGATTAGATAGAGTGCATGCAGGGTCCTGGGTTTAGTAACACTTTAACGCATTTTTTTTTCAATGAATGCAAGATGATCGCTGATTGGACAAGATGGAGAGGAGGGTTGGTGATTTCAAGATCTCCACCTCATCCAGTCAGAGAATGCTTTGCAAAGGTGGGTGTTGTCATGCTAGGACAGGAAAGTGAAATTATGCTATGTAGACACATAGCACTGCAGCAGTGGATGGATTCCAAGACCACATACACTATTTGTGTGTGTTTAGCTGCTTGACTTGAGTTGCTGTTTAAAACCAAATCTGAAATATAGTCTATTGATATCAGTAATAATACTTGTAAGAAATACTGTTTATTGACCAAAGATTACAGCATTATTTAGATTTCCCAGCG